TCAATCACCATTCCCATTTGTTTCATACCCAAATCCCCTCAAATTGAGAGATCTTTTGTCCTTTATATCTGAAGGATTTAGCTAAAGCAATTACCATCAAATATTACCATAAGGAAAGGTAAAACACAGCCATCTTTCCTTTTTCCAGGCTGATTTCTAGCTGAACATGTACATTTTGCAACCAACAGGCTGAGACTTTCTCTTGACTCTTATAGGCAGATGGGCTGCTCATAGTCTCCTTTCCTTCTGAGCAGAGCTGGAAGACCCCACACCCCCTCAACTCACCTATCAGCAATCTGCACTGAGTTTTACAAGGTCACATCCTGCATCACTCTAAATTGAATTCCAGCCTTCCAATCAGAGAAGCAAATGCACCTATAACCTTTACAAGCAATTAAATGTACTGCCCTTGCTAACTCTGATGATTTCTCCAATACTTGAATCTCAAGAATTTAGTCATTACTTCTGCTGGCCTTTGCTCTGAATGAGGTTGAGACAGCGAGTTTCACTTTGAATGTGTGTCAGAATCAGTTATAAAAAAAAGTCCCTTTTAAAGAGAGATTCAATAAAAACAATCATGCTCCTGCTTTTCCCTTTTGGCAGTACAGAAAAACCTTTACAAAACTAAGATCTGGCTTCTGTGACCTCCACACTCATTGATCCTTTTGTCAATCTTGTTTGCAGGCTTCCTTATTCCCATTTTAGACAGGTCTGAGTTTGCCTTTGGATATTAAGGAATTTAAATAAAGTATTTCCTTACATACAAGGATGATATCCAAGTGGAAAATTTGTGTAAGAGATGCTTTCGGGGTGTGGATGGTCCGGGACACGGCAGAGACTTCTATAATCGAGTTAGATGTTAGTAGTTTATTTCAGGGTGTGGGGGAGAAAGAGAGCCTGCTATGAGCCAGCAGATAGAGCTCAAAGCAGGCTTGGAGAGAACAATACAAAAGGGGGTAAAATATGAATACATGAGTTCAAGATTTAAGATTGCTAAGAAAGAGAGTAACAGAACAGAAGTGAGAGAGCCGGGGAAAAAAGAGGATAAAGAAGAGCAGGAAAGAGCAGGAAAAAGAGCAGCAAGAGAACATAGTAAGAGAGAGAACTCTCTTTTACAATTACTTATATAATCTATACATTTGAATATTCTATTCCTTTACTAACCAATCTTTCTAAGTGTACTAATACAGTAACATTTGTGTGTGACCTATAGAAATCGCTGCTTTTGCATATTTTTAGGTATCTCAGGGTCCTTCAGACCTTTCCTTATAAGGCTGGGGAGAGGGGTCTCAGCTTAGTTTTATTTGGGGAAAGAATGTGTTCTGGCATACCAGACCGGTTTCTTTGAATTATTCAAACCGTGTTTTCATTTGTATTTCTTCCTCAGCCTTTCTGGCTAAAGAGTCATATTTATAATTTCTTTCTAATTCCACCTTCCCAGCAAATTTGATCCTTGAATCTAGACCAAAAATAATTCTACAATACTCTGGAATATCTTACTGACAGACATCACAATAATGAAGCCCACAGACAGGACAAGATAACAAGAGACATATTTTTGCCTTGGTATAAACTGTTTTAAACCTGAGCTAAGGAAAGTTAAGACTTTACACTGAAGTACCCAAAGTGCACTTAACTTTTATACAAGAACTGGAACTAAAGTTGGCATCTAAGAGTTTACAAAAATCATTCCAAAATGAAAACCAGAAAAGGGGGATTCAAAATCATGTTATCTCTTTATGGGCCATGTAAGATGTTCCCTTAGTGTTAAATCACATTAGTCCATGAAGCTAACTGGAACAGTAAAGAAGAAAAGCTGTTGTACTCCAGGTGTATCATATCAGCAAGCAAGCCACACCGGGAGTGCAAAACACACAAATTATAAAACAGAAGTCATCTAATTACTCAAGATCTGTAGAAATCTTGGAGGTTCCTCTAGAAGTTTGTTCTTGGACCATTAACTTGTTCGATGAACACAACTGAAGCTGAACAAGGAAGTGCAGCACAAAAGAGAAAAGGCAAGTCCCAATCAAATGATGATGATCAATATGCTGTGGCTACTAACCTCCCAAGAGGGAGATGGGTGGAAGAGTAGGAAATGCTGCTAAGTCTCAGGTACAGCTAAAATATTTAAGTTCACATAAAGAAAATCAGTGGTAAGACTGAGTGCAATTATAGAGTAGACACCCCTTGTTAATGCCCTGCAAGCATTAACTTGGGATATTTCATTATTAAAATTGTGTGCCGTCTCTCAGACGCTGAGCTTTTGTCAATTCAAGGACATGTTGCTTATTCCAGCTGACTTGGAAGTAGTTCTCCTCTCTCCCTCCTTTCCCCTCCATTTGCAGGACAGAGTGAAAGGCAGCATTGAGTTAAATCTTCACCATTTTTGTTGACAGGGTTCTTCATGAAAATTGCATGGAACCCGTAACATAGGCCTTTCAAAGAGTGCTGCAGCTCCAGATTAAAAACTCATACTATGGGAGAGGACAAAGCTGTAACTGTTACACATTGAAACACAATAATGAATACCTAAAGTCCAAAATGATCATAGAGTGAATGGGCTTCCACACCAGGGACACACCATTGTTTGGCCTACTTAAAGTTCACAAATAAACTTCTTACAGATTTCAAGCCTGTCTGTAGAGATGCAGAGAAGCCCACAAATGGTCACCACAAGGAGACAGTTTAATAGTGTAATCTCATTTTTCATAGTGTGTTTCATTCCTGCCACCCTACAATTTTAACAACTAAAAATCTAAGGTCTTTTTAGGTAACAGTCTGGGCTCCTTGTTCTTCCTCTTTTTGGTCCTCCTATCACTCTACCTAAGTTCCCATGATGCCAGCACTGCCTTGAGCTTTGGGAATGTAAGATCGGAGCTGTCACCATTCCAGACTCACCACTAAGCACTGCAATCCAGCCCTCCTGGAGCAGGCAGTATATGGTTTGCTGTGCCTAAGAACCTGCCTAAGAAGAGTAAGATCCCTGTGTCTGCAGTTTTTCCTGGAGACAAATCCACTGACAGCAGCACTAAACTATCAAAATATGCAGCTTTGCCCAGGAATTTCAACAAAGGAAAATAAAAGGGAGCAGAAATGGGTGTCTTTTTCAAAAATATAAATTACAGCATGGATCAGGTGATTTTGGAGGTTTTCTCCTTTAGTTTTAAAATAAAGATTAGCAACTTATTTTGGAGTGTAAGAAGACAGATTGTAGCAGAAACACCAATTAACAAAAAACAACAAACAAAACATGATAAATCTGACTTACCTCCCACAACCCAAAGCAAACTGTCATTAAGTTACCCCTCTATGCACAGAAATTGAAGTCAAGCCCAGTCTCTCTCCTTTTTTCACACAGGATTAGGTGATAAGTTATCCAGAAACAATCCAAAACAGCTCCAAAACTATTCCTTATATGGCAGATATTTTTGAAAACTCCATTCTGCCACTTATTTTGGCAGTTGTGAAGATAATCAGCCCCATTTTTCCATATAATTTTTCCTTACATTATTCTGATTTTGAGGGGGTGCAGCTCCCCTAACATACCGAACGCCAAACTACCACACATCATAACAAACCTTGGAAGTTAAGGTGTTATGTCAAGGCCTACCATTTGTACAGATTTCCCAGTATGATGATATTAAGAAAAGAAGCCTTGTAGGGAGTCCAAAATTACAGATAGCTTCCAATTGAATAAATATTAAAAAAAGAACTGACATCAGAAGTTACTCAACAGAAGGGAACTGTATGTAGTGACATGCTGCAGTGAAGAGGAGGAAGTAACTCAACTTCTGCTATCCTTGGTGCTGACTCACCACATTCTGGCTGCAGGATATGACATCCATAAAGATGCTCGAGTTTCTAGAGATGCCCCTAATGCAGTCAAGTGCCTCGCTGAACAAATACACCGCCTAGAACTGAGACAAAAATCTGAGCTCTCAAGTCCTTAAGAATGTGGCTGATATCCTGCAGGGTGTCAAGACTGCTATTTGGAGAAGAGTGGAAAATAACAGACATTAAGCAAGGCTTTTTGTTGTAAAGGGCCGATTCTGGTTGTATCAAGACTGAGCTACAGAATATGATGAATTTGTCCAGCTTCTTCATCTTCTCTCTTCCCTGGACTGAAAGCCATGTTGTCTTGCTAATATCCTTCTCCTTCACCCCAGAGCAGCAATCAAACACTTCTCAGCAAACAGCCAGAGGCCTGGGTAACAGGGGCTGAGAACAGGAGGGACATGTGCCCCTTGCTGCCACGTTCCAGCTTTGCTCCAAGCCAGATGCACCATGGAGTGACAGGGACCTTGCACTGCAAGGAAAAGCTCAGCTCGGGTCACACAGAGACAATACAGTCAGGAACAGCAGAGTATTCATTTACAATGAAGCCAAATGAATACTGAGAAAAAAACCAAACAAAACAGACCCATATCCTAGACCTCACAAATCTGAGCTTTCTTTATGTGTGTGTACACATCTGTGTTTGTAAGTTATATGCACACACAGAGACATATTCAGAAACAGGCTAAATATGTTCCCCAGAAGAAGATCTGACATTTGCAGCCTCAATCCTGTCACCCAGAACAGACCAATCTGCACGATCTTCAAGGCCAGCTGCTGGGTACATGTGCTGAAACTAACTTTGCCTGATACATTTATTTGCGGAGGACAATACTGTTTTGACTCCAACTTACCCTGATTAGCCCTATGTCAGTGAGAATTATTGCTATGTTTGTTCAAATTAGTATGTGTCCTAAATTATGGAGAGAAGGTCACTTTACAGACCCAGGAGTAGGAGGAAGCTCTGGACAAAAATAGGATAGCACTGTCACAATATTTACCACCCAGGTTCAGATCAGTTTCATCTTTAATGTCTCTGCTATATTTTGCTATCTAAGGGCATGACTAGCAAGGTAAAGCTTATTTAATCCACCTGAAAAGGAAAAATAAATACTACTAATCATCAGATGACTTTAGAAACAAAGCAATATAAAAATCTCACCCTTTCCACTACAGAGTTTATTCTTATGCATAATAAACTATCCACAGACATCAGATATACAGCAATATATATTTCATAGACAGCTCTCACTATAGTTAGTCTCCACAGAGTGACTGACAGAGAAGCATGAGCTGTCATTCCCATTTTGGACAGCAGGTGTAAGTTAGAGTTTGACATTACAGATACATATCAGTATTGTAAAAGTAGAGAAAAAATAAACTATGTAAGAGACCAATAATTACAGCTTGATGCTATTGAATGGGACAAAGCCACATAGCAGGAAAATTGCTTCCTAGCCAGGCTCCTGCTCATCACACCCATGTGTTTACAGGAGGGTTAAGTTACCTCATTCACCTTCTTTCCTCACAAGACCTCTTTTTTGTATTACATAGTCAGAGAATTCTCACAGAAACACACGAAGTAATATTGAGAGTGTCAGAGCCCACAAGCAAGAACAGATTTGTCAAAATATCACAGCAGTGTTTTCTGCCACAGAGCTGACTTGGGGATTCACCCACCCCATCTGCTGCACAATTACAGGATGAGGGGTCAGTATTGAGCCAAAACTGAAGGGGGGAGATGAGATAACAAAGTCTTCACTCTGTGGTCTTTAACAGCTCTGCCTTCTACTTGCAGACACAAAACCTGAAGGTGGGGGCTAAGAAAGAAAAGGAAGATCATGAGAATTTCCCTACACTCTCTCTTATTTTCTCACTTTAAGGAGAATACTTGAGAATAAAATTAATTGCTAATAGCTATATCCAACTCCACTGCCCTTATGGACCCAGAGTCCATCCAGAGACTGCTGCCCTCTGGCTGGAAGGGCCAGCAAGGCCACTGAGGTTCTGCTGAGCATTCTCCTTCCAGGAGATGCACCGTTCCCTGGAACAGCATCCTTAGCTGCAGACGGTGGCATTATGTGCTTCCTGAAATGCTGCTTCTCCATGCAGCTAAAAGCCTTAAGATCCTTGAAGAGAGGAGTGTTTGCAGACCATACTGTTTGCAAGCTGTCCAGGAAATGAGTCCTTCCTATAAAAAAAAAAACTGTGTTCAAACTACAAGCCAAGATGTTCAGAATCTCTCCCTAAGTCGTCTGATTTCTTACAAATGTTATCTATCCTTACCTCCCACCAAGCTGCACACCCAGAACTCTCATTCTACAAATGTAGTCACAATGGTGTTTGAATGCTGAGCGCTTTATGTACATCTGAAATGCTTAAGAAACAAGTGTCTGTCTCATTCTTCACCATTTAATTAAAAAAGAGGGTCTCTAGTTCCATACCACTGTTTTGAAAATCATAACACGGAACATGGCATGTATTCCAGTAAGAGGAAATCTTATGGTGTTCAAGTAATGAGCACAAAACCTAAGGTATTGCAGCCTAAGTGAATTTTTCTGCAGTTGGTAAAACCATAGTATGAAAAATACCAATATAAAAAGGGAGGGCTGAGCCTCCCTAACATTTTCATGTATTTAATTTTGGATGATAAGAACATCCCTAGGAAACACTCATTCAGTAATGAAATCTGAAATGAAAAATGACCACCCAGAAGTAAAAGTAGTCATACACAATTAATGAATTCATTCAGCCAGCCAATAAATCAAAAAGCAAACCAGACTATCTTAATCTTGCAGGGAAACGTTTTTTCAGTGCTTCCTATACTGTACTTTGCTCAAGGCCGACATTACCAATTGGTTGTTTCTTTAATTCTTAACCATTTACATTATAATGTTATTTTAAATGTGTCATCCAAGAACACTGTGTCAGAACTTACTATTCTTTCCAGAATTTCTAATCCTCTTTCTGATTTCTAATCCTCAAAGAAATTAATATGAGAAAATTTACTTTAAAGGTTGAAAAAGCCTGTGAGCATTCAGCATAGTTATTAGTACATAGTACTAATATTAGTACATACTAGTCCATAGATAACTATATTTTTCAAAAAAGGGCCCTAGCACTTCCCTTTTTGGGTAAAACTTTGTACAAACAGATATCAGACATGCAGAAAGCTATCACTGCTGAAGCTTTTACACTCTTTTCATCAGGGACTCAAGGGGTTTACCCTTGGGATACAGACAAAAATAACTTACTAAAGTTTTGTCAAAGACAATTTGAAAATTTTCACTTACTATTCAATTTTCTGTGCAACAATGAACTAAATTAAACAGTAACTCTGGAAAAGCTCAAAGCAAGAGGCTATTGAGAAAAGAAAGAGCAGCTTCACTGAAGCCTGAAAATCTGAGTCAAACTTCTTTGCCTTTCAGTTGTATGTCTTTTTTCCCCCCAAAGCTCATCTACTAAATCCCAATAGTTTTCTCATCTCCCTCCAGTTTCCCCCCAAAAATTAGGAATAACCAGATTATGCTTCTATTGAATTTTGCAAATGCATGCTTCAATGCAGGAGCTACATGTGCTCTTCAGAGAAACCTATCATCAAATTCATGTGAAAGAGGCAAAAGCCAGGACTGTTCTCCTACTAAGAGTGGATTCTCTGCAGACTCCAAATGATCACACTCAAAACTTTTGAAATCTAAGGGGCCACTGAAGGACAAAGCTGCCTGACAGTCCCTGATGTTCTCACTTCTACTGCATTCCTTCATGCTGAAATCATGTTTATTGGTTTGCTTTCTTCCCTTTGGATACAACTTTGACACACCTGTGACCTAAACTAGCACCAACTGAGCACAAAGAACTGTGCTGATTCTCCAGGCTCTTTCCAACAGCAGGGTCTAGCTTGTGCCAATTTCTACTGCCAGCTTGGTACTGACAGGTCACACAAATTCCTCTCTTCCAGATTTCCACTTTCTCAAGGAAGGCAGTGAAGACAGCCCCAACAAGGTGACTCATCAGCAAAACCCTGCCTCCAATTACAGTTATTGCAGCTATGATTCCTGAGTGAGCTTATTAATCGAAGTCTCTGCACAGTAGAGACCTTTAATTTTACAGAAATCTTTTCAAGTCACCTCCAAAGCTGGCAACGAAACCAATTTTCCTCCTCTAAAACAATAACCAAGACCTGCCCTGTGTGCAACAAAATGCATGTGTACTCTCAGTTGTAACTGATACAGAATTTCTCAGCCAAATTTTCACAAGTTGGTTTTCACCTGCACACACAGGTCCTAGCCCAAACTCACTCAATAGTGATCAGAACTGCATGACAGCACCTACAAATCCAAGCAGGAATACAGACCCTACTTCAAACTTCTCCTGGGAAGATGGTGAGCAGCAGCTTGGAGCACAGTGCCTGGCTGCTGCTAGCTCGCCTTGGCCCTGCAGATCAGTGAAGCAGAGGGGCAGGAGAGTAGGAAGAGTCCACTAAAGGACACAATACTGCTTTTGCACAAAAAAAAAAAAAAAAAGTAACATCCTCAGTTCATCTGGCCCTGTACCAGAACAGTAGCAATTAAAGTGATGAAATACAATGAAATAGAACCGGGGTGGGGGGGAGCAGGGGCGGGCAGACAAGGACAGAAACCTCCAACAATGATAATTTCATTAAACACTATGTTAAGCAAGTCAGAAAGCTCACTGCACCATTAGAGCCTGCCCTGTACATTCAGAATTTCTTAGCTTGGACACAGGAAAAAATAAAAAAGTTCTACAGGTCCTCTCAGGACACTTGACTTTGCTGGGAGGACACAGTCTGCTGCCCTTTGCAGCTCACCTGTTTCTTACACAGGCTGCCTCCTTCAGGCAATACACCAAGGAGTGACAAGCAACATCAGAAACACTTCTTTGCAGGCATTGCTTTGCCCTGAGAAGAGTCAGAGCCTAAAGGAAGAACAGAGCTACATTTTGTACCTTCCAGCTAGCATATTAATTTTGCAGGTCCTGTCACGCTATTAACAATGCTCAGAATCCATTGCTTATGCCTCCCTGTAGGGCTGTGGTTCCTCTCTCTCTTCTGACAATCCATCCCCTGTGGCCATTCTGCAGCAGGAAGGGATAGGTAATGGATATCCCAGTACACACAGACAGCCCCTACACAAAAGAGCTGAAAAAGCAGCAAATATGGGAGAGATACGGGGACAGATTTATCTGTGATTTGACATAAAACTCATTCCTGACATTCCTGTTCAACTACTTGTGGGTAACACAGGCAGATTTCCATGTGTCAGTTTTCTTCATTGCTCAAATGTGTGGGCATATAAAGCAAGAGGGAAAAAAGGCTGTTGAAGTATGAACTGGCTTTGGACATACCTAGTATGAAAATCCTGTGTTTTCCACTTCTGGATTACAATCATATTCTTCAAGTAAACTTTGGAGCTACTTGTTCTGGGAAGTATTTGAGCTGAAAGAGGCCTGGGATTTTCAGAGTGATGATAAATGTCCTTTTTCACTCCTAGGTTTTTGGCTGGAAACATATCTAGAGTACAGAAAGCCAGGATTTTCCTTTTCATCGGCACACAGACTGAACCACATGGCTCCTCTTGCACTTCTCCAGGCCAAGGCCAGTCCAGAAATTATCCATAAAATCCTTACTTTGGAAAGATTAGATTAAAAGCTTAGAGATGAAGAATATATATCCTTTCCCCAGAAGCCCTGATGGACACAATGTAGCATCACCTTCATTTTTCAAATGAAGAAGCGGAGTGACACATGATGGAGGACATTTTACCTCATGTCAGCTAAAACACCAGTGACAGCAGCAGGAGCAGGATCTACTTTTCCCATATCTGAGCCCACTGGTTATCCAAGTGTTGACTTGATAATCTGAATAGACACATAACATTGTCACAGAGTCACTGGTGACTTTCCCACCAGACCTTCCACTGTCACACTGTCAGATACTGCAGCTCAGGTCTCCCCGTCAGGCTCATGCCCCCAGAACAAGCACAAAATAAATGCTGGAGCAAGGCACTGTGTGCAAAACACTGTGATAGCTACACCAAACATGATATCACAGGAGAGAAAGAGAGCCATCTTTCTCTCAGTGTTTTGGCACAGAGTGGTTTTTCATTCAGTCATGCTGAGAAAACACAAGGAAATACAGAAAAACCAGACTTTTCAAAAATCAATTAAAATAAATTAGTTTGTAATGGAGAGGAAAAGTCTCTCTCTAAATATGAAACTATCATTAAATGTTAGTAGCAAAAGGATGGTCCCAGTTACCTTTTGAGTGCAAGTTTTCCACTTTATGGTATTTAAGGAACAGAACAGAGCACGGCATCCCAGATACTGGACAGGTCACTACAGGGTGGGTGAAGACAGGGAGGGAGGACTGCAGTGTTCCAAACTCCTAAGAAGAAAAACTGAATATTTGTGAATTTCTCTCCTTGCATGCCTAATAAATGAGCTCCTGGCTCACGAGCTCTGCTCCCCTAAGCTGACCCACAAATGGGCAGTGAACAGGCTGTGAACTTTGATCAGCATGCCATGAAATTCCAGCTCCCACGATAAGCAAAGGTGGACAGGAATGCCAAACAATTCAGTTTATAGTCAATGATATTGTCAAGTTATCTTTTGCAAAAACAGGTTAACAAGAAAAGAAACCACAAAAACACTGGCCTTTTCTTTAGAAAGGAAAGTGCAAGGCGGTGTATTCATAGTAAAAGATGTCCCTTAGAAGCACATTAAACTGCAGTGATAATGGAATATGAACAAAAGCCCCCTCAAATTTCTCAGTGTTGCTGAAAATACCTCCACTGCATTGATCCCACTGGAAGCCTTTTTGTATTTTTCCCATGGCACTTTCTTGGTTATCTGAGGTGTGCAGTGGTTATTTGCAATATAGAAAGAGACCTTTGGTGCAGAAAAATACAGAAGTTAGAAATTCAAATTACTTACCAATTTTTTAAGTTTTGGTTTTTTTTATATTAGAGGATGATTTATAACTAACTTGCAATCTTAAAAAAATGAAAAGGGTCAAGAACAGTCAAACTTTACCATTTTTAATCCAGTGGTCAATGTTGAGCTTACTTTCCTTATAAATATGATATCAAAGTGATATTATTCAAGGACTTTTAAGCACTTTAAAAACTCTGCTAGATGAGATTTCATCATGGTCCTAACTAGACCATGAAAATT